GACCAAAGGAAGAAGATTGTCTCCCACTTCAGCTATAAATAGAGAGTGTCATTGATAGCTGAGTATCAACACGAAATAGAGAGAAACACAGAGAGAGCTTAGAGTGAGAGTTAAGTTGAGTAGAGAAGTTTTTTCTCCTCCTTCTTATTTTGTTGTTTGTATTGCTTTTGAGCTTGATTAATACAAACCAGTAACTCTGTGGAGTAGGCAAGTTTTTTCTCCTTCTCCTTGTTTTGTTGTTTGTATTGCTTTTGAGCTTTATTAATACAAACCAGTAGTTTCATGGAGTAGACAAGTTGCCGAATCACGTAAATTGATGTGTGTTTGAATGCTTGAAGGACCTAACAAGGTTTTCCCCATCCAAAATCGACATCATTTAAATCAAACTTCAGCCAACTAGAAAATAAAAATATTTCTGGGTTTATCGAGCCTATCTCCACCAGTTGTTTCAGCAATGACTCATATATGCCTTGAAACCCGTTCTCACCCTGGAAATCCTTGAGGTAATCGTAGTTTATATTAGTGAAAGATTCTCTAGTTAAGCTCACCAAATCATTCAACTCTATCTTTGTATCAGCCAACTCACAGGCTGTAATTGAATGCCACCATAGGTTTCCAATTGAGTATCTTGAAAAGCTAGGTTTTGTTCTTTGTCTTATATTCACTGCATGTAGAGAGACAGACGGCCTTGGCAGAGCGCACAACGACCTACAAGCTTCTGTGCAGGATTTCCAAATAAAGGCAGTCAGTGTTTCAGTGCGAGATGGATTCGGCACGCGTTTGCTTTTAGCCTTAGCCCTTAGAGTGGCAACGGCATCGGCATCAAAAACGAATCTCTTGGTGACATTTCCTTCTTTGAACAAGTAGTTTTCCATCACCCACAAAGGAAATTGAACTAATAATTCATTTTGCGGAGGAAATCGGGATGACGCCTCAAAAAGAGCAGGATTTATTTGCTCATGGTAATGACCTCTTATGTTGGCTGCCCAGCTGTCGAGGAACGCAATCGCCGTAGCTGCATCGATGATCTTGTGTGAAAAGCAGAGACCGAGTGCCGTCCCACCACAATCAAATGTGTTAAATTGTATGGCTACCTGCGGTGTTGCTTCTGGATCTGATTGATAGCCGAATGGTTGGCATGGAAGAAATTTATTCAGCAAATTTAGCTGAGGTTGTATAAGAAAATCGAACAAACTCCCCTTCACTCGGGTTTCAACAAATGGAGCACCCTTCTCGTAGTTGTCTATAATAGAGTTGTTTCTCACCCTCCCAGATAAAGGGTAAAAGGTGGATAGTGTTTGGGACAGTGATCTCTTGAGTTGAACTGAGATTTGTAAGCCTTTGAAATCTTGATTGTTATTTGCTGGGTAGAATAAAACCATTGGAAAATAAGTTGTGGGTAAAAGCTGATCCAAAAGGGACAGCTTGTACGGTAAAAGGTGATGGATGGATGTCGAAGAGGGTTTGATGAGCTCTCTTGAAATGATACTGACGTCCATATTGAAGAAGACGACTTCAACAAAAGAAGATATTCTGATGGATAAAGAGATGTTCTTGATGTGGTTTCTTTTTTAGATTAAGGTGGGTGTCCGGGTCAGCTTGCGCACACCACGACTAATCCCACGGGCCCTGAAGTTAACGACCATGTAAGCCTCCAGTGGCTATCATATGAGCAACTAAGGACTCGAACCTGAGACCACAGAGGGAGCAAACCCCTTGATCCCAAGTTTTTACCACTTGGCCACCATCTAGATGGTTTCTTGATGTGGTTTCTTTCTACTACATGAGAGCGTCTTATATAGGCTTCATCAACCACTATTCTTCAATGGGACAAAAGTTGATTCCATCGCCTTTGGACTTAAACCATTGCCTTTGGACAAAAGTTAATTTTATTTTATGATAGGTAAGTAAAGCTGGTAAATGAAGAGAATTAATTTTGATTGTCATAATTTATTTTATATCAATTTTGGTTTCAAAATTTATTATAAAAAAAATTTGAATGAAAGAGTGTTTTATAGACTTTCAAGCTATTCTTCACCTTAGTTTTCTTAGCTTATTCTATTTTAGCACATACCTTTTAATTTATAAAAGTGAACATTTCGCTATATTACTTTTTTTTAATTTGATATAAAATAATTCATTTAATTTGATAATAATTTATTATTTATATTAACAAAATCTAAGACGGATTTTCACTCACAAAAGTTGTTAGTGAAATCACTATTTACTAGAAATGTAATTACAATTTTGCTTTTTCATCCAAGAAATCTAACAGTGTATATCATTACTAAATTGATTAAAGATAAATAAATTATTTTTCATTTTAAATATATAATAAAATAATTAAAATACTTTTAAAAAAATTAAATTAGGGAAATGTTGTATTTTTGCAATAGTTTTTTTGTTATTATTAATTCAACTGAGTAGTAACTTGGTATTTGACTAAATATATAAAAAATTAATATATGTTCAAACAAAAACAAAATTATAAAACTAGTGTTCAGAAACTTTTTATTTTTTTGCAATGATTTTCTCATTGATATCAAGTCAACTTAAAAATAATTTTGTATTTAACCAAAAATAAAACAAAAAGGTTAGATGCAACCAGTGCCTCTTACTATTCAAAAATGTTTTTTTTTGGATTGTTAGAAGCATCATCTTCCTAGTGATGTTACGTGTGTTAGTGGTAGTGATCTGGTTTGTTGCTGGTATGCGCATCATCTTCCTAGTGATGTTACGTGTGTCAGTGGTAGTGATCTGGTTTGTTGCTGGTTTTTTTTTTCTCCTTTCTCCCAAAGAAATTACAACTTAGCCCTATTTATTGGCATTTCAACTTCATTTCTTGTTTTTTTTTTAATTTTTATTCTTAGTCTTTTTGTTGAAGTTTTATTTATTTTCAATTTCATCATTTTATCTTAATTTGCTATATATTATTTTTTTTTAATTTGACCCTTATTCTTTTGATTTTTTGGATTTTTTTGTTAAATTAATTTTTCTTTTCAATTTTATCCTTCAATCAAAAAATTATTTTTTATTTCAATTTTTATCCTCATTCCTTAGATTTTCTTTTGTCATTTTTTTCAATTAATTTATCTTTTTAATTTTACTCTTCAATCAAAAATAAAATTTATTTTATATTTTAATTTTGATTCTCATTATTTTAATTGTTATTTTTTTATTTGAGAACCTTTTGTGTGATTGTGATTGATATTCTTTTTGCTAGTTAATCTTTAAACATTTAATTGATTTGTAATTAGGCTGTGCAATTTTTCTAAGTAGGGTGCTTCTAGTCTAATGCTTCGAGTCATGAGTTTAAAACATTAATACGTGTTGACATCGTTTTTTTTACTTATTTTCTTTTTAGTTTTTTGATTTTTTATGTTTTTTTTTCTATCAAGTTATCCCGATCTTACTATTTAGGTTGCAGGCTTGGTGGGTTAACCCAAATTGACATATCTTTTAATGCTAACTCGAATTGACTTGAGTTGTTTTTTTTATCCAATTTTTTCCTTTTATGTTTATTGTGTTAAAAATTAAGCTACATTTATCCCACTTTTTTAGGTTATCATTATTATTTTTTTAATTTGGTCTATTTATTGTCATTATTTTTTTATCATTTGATTAAAATAAAATCAACTTGTTTGACCTACTTCGGTCTATATCTCTATAACTCAAGTAAAAAAAAAATTAAAAAAAAACATATACATTACCTTAAAAACATTTTTAATATATAAAAAAAAAAAAACAAGGCTACACAACATAGCACAAATAAAAATTATCATAACTTATTTTATCTTCAATTCTTTAAATATTTGGATAATAAGAATATAAATTAAAATTGAATTAAAGTCAACTAATAATGACTAAAAAATATTACCATGTTTAATTACAAAAGAAAGGTTCTTGATCTGGCACCTTCTAATCACCACCATAATTTTGCATATTACAAATGGATTGTTCTGTTGATATTCAAACACTAATTCTATTAGAAAAAATTTTACAACGGAATCATAAATGATTAATTTTCATAAAAAAAAATATAATTTATCATTGGTGATTTTTATTTCATTAATCATTCCGTCAATAATATAAACATTAATAGATTTACAAATAAAAAAAGCATGCCAAATAAAAAAAAATTATCACCATCATTTTGTTGGTAATTCTATTAATGAGTGTGTTATGTCATCACTAAAAAAAATCATTTGTAATTTTCATTAGTGATTTATTTCATATTATCCATAGACTGAAACCATCGGTAATTAACATTTTGTTAATGGCAAGGTTATATAATTTTTTTGAACTTTTTGGAGCTTTATAAGGGATTTAGGTCGGTGATTGTATGCGTAATGATGAGTGGTATTTTATGTAATTTTTTTAACTTTCCAGAACTTTCTAACAGACTTGTTTTATCGGTAATTCTATATGTAATTTCTTTAATATTGTTTTTTTAATCAAATAAATAGACTAAAAAAAATTAAAAGAACTAAAACTAATAAAAAATAAATATTTATTATAAATTTAAAAATTATTAGTTTGAATACAATTTATCTAGAAGACAAGAGTTCAAAGAGGAGGAATTGGATCTTTCCCGAGACCGAGCGGAGGATGAGATGAAATACACCCCCCCTTCCCAATCTTTGACAATAACTCTATGGGCAATCATATAAGTTTAGTCATCTTAGCATCAAGTTATTTTGTCTGGACAATAAACTATATCATTTGAACTTTAACTTGTTGTTACACAATCGCTTGGAAATTTAAAGATTAGAAGCTCGAACTCAAATGCAATGAGCCAACAATTAATACTCTATGATCTATTCGCATTTTCAATCATAATGTTTGAGATACCATAAATTTAATTTCAATGAGGCCTATCAAATGATCCAGCCTTTAACCACAAACATAAATCGTGCTCTAGATTGATTGAAGAATTGCCCTCGTATCTTTTCTATAATCAAGTTATATATGTGTCTTATATAAAAAACTAATTAGTTTATTTTTAAAAAATTAACAATTTAAAAAAAAAAGTTATTAAAATCCAATTTATTATAAATTTTTAAGCTTGAGTATCCACCAACCACTACTTTTTATATAGTTATTATTTCATATGTAAGTTTTTATAAAAAGCTTCTTCAATATTGATCGTAGTAATATAGCTATTGCTTGTAAAAGAAAACTTTTGTTAGTTAAATGTGTTTTATTTTTTTGTTTTGTAAATCTTGATCCAATATGCGAGCTTTTAAATCTGGGAAAAAACATAATCTTTAAAATTATGTGTTCAAACATTTATTAATTGTTGCTACAAAACATCAACCAGTACATGCGACAGATACATGAGTTTTTTGCACTCATTTGATGATCTTGTTGATATGATCCTGTCTGCTTCGTCCACGGTCCATGATATATTGCAGAAGCAGGAAAATAGCTAGCACCATCAACTTAAAGATGCTACTTGGCTCAATCTCTGGTTACCATGATTTTGCAGTGGAAGATCAGTCTCCCGTGGAGGAAACGCTGATCATGCAAAGAGACAAGTGTTTTCATCATCAATGGCTGGGATGGCGACCGGACAACAACCTGACCGTCGCGTCAACTCAACCCTTAAAACTGCAGCAAAATATCGTTGTTCTTTTAACTGCACTCCACGTGGCATGAATATTGTGGTGCCCAACTTCAAATCAGACTGCTTTCAGATCCAGTTAACCATCTCCAATTAATTTGGGTTAAACCTCTACGAAAAAGAAAGTTGTAGTAATAACTCATGAAATATTGAAAATAAGCCTAGCTACTTCAAAGTTCTGAGAGTTTAGGTTTAAGCTAGCTATTTCAACTACCAACGAACTGTTGGTATAATGGTTAATGTACCGTGTTATATTATTGTAAAAATAAAAATATAAGTTTGGTTTTAAAAAAATGCACTTATTAAAAAAAAGTAGTTATAAACCTCAAATAAAATTAATTTTATCTTTTAAAAAAGATGTAAAGGTATCCAAGTAAAAACCAAAAGAAAAACTAGTTATTTCAATCGGGTTTTATTGTGAATTATATAAGTTTTTTTAATAAAATAGAAAATAGAATATGTAAATTTTTGAACCGTTATTTTATATAAAAAATTCTAAAAATAACTATTTAAAAAATAAATTATAGATTAATTAGACTCTTTAAAAATTAAATACATATAAAATAATTAAAAAACAACCACTATTTTAAATAAAGCTAAATAAAAAAAATTATAAACAATGAGTATTAATTAAAATACAAATTAATAAGTTATTTAAAATAACATGTTTTTTTATAAATATAAAATGTAAAATTAAAAAATAAAATAAAGGGTTTGACAAGCCAAGCCAACATGTTTGGCCCTTCTAAAAGGCCTTTGCACATGCTTTTATTAAAAAAAAAATGATGTCATCTTTTCTAAAAAAATTTTTTTATTAAAAAAAAAATGATGTCATCTTTCCTAAATTTTTTAAAAAAATAAATAAATTAGACAACAATATTGTTTATATTTGTTTAGATCCCAATCACTATAATGTCTAAAAAATTGAGCTCTATGATTTGTTTTATCAAAAAACCAAGTTTTAATGATTTTTTTTAATCCATAACACCTAAAAAATATCTTAGTAAACTTATTAATGGTGTTAAAAAATTAAAAAAACAGCACAAAATCTCGAAATCAATCTAAATTAAAAATCTTTCCTATCTTATATATGTTGAAATTTTAAGATAAAAAAACACATAAATGGAACTCCCCTCATTAAATAGAACTCAAAACTAAAATCAATCTTAAATAATATTTTTTTTCTTTTTTTTTCTCTCTTTTCTTAAATTAAGAGCCTCAAAATAATGAAAATAAA